CAAACAGTCAATTAATGTAGTTTGAATAATGGAATCATATTAATTGATCCTCTTTAACAAATATTTAAACAGTTGTTTTTTATTTTTTAATGAAATAAACAAACTATATCAACAATATTAGTATATGTACTCTTTTAAAATTTAGTACATCTTTAAAAATAATCTAAAATGTCAGTATTCCATGAGTATATTGATAAATGAGTTCTAAATTACAATAAAATTCATTTTCTACGGAAACTTGAAGAGATAGCTAAAAAATGGTATAATACAATTTGATAGACAATTAAATTGTGCACCTGATTCTCATAAAATATACAGGGTGTTCTATTTAAATTTAAAAAGTTATTGCCGTTTAAAGCTAATAATTATTTAAAATAAATATTTAGACACTCTGTATAAGGTAGTAAAACTTTTATTATTGCAACACAATAACTGATCAATAAATAAATTTCAGTAAATATTTAGTATTAAAAACTTTGATACTTTTGGAGAAATGAAGCCTTAAAATTTAAACTGCAATTTCACAAAATTGAAAATATTTCAAGAACGGTAAGGTTTAAGTGTAATAAACCTTAATAAAATTTACCTTTATTTTAATCGTAGAAACTAAAAATGTAATAATATACAGGGTGTTCCATTTAAAAAAATACAACTTTGATATTTTTTATTTATTTGGGACACTCTGTGTCTTGTAAAAATATTTTTAAATTGTAGCTCTAATAGTCCTTCAACAAACCTAAAACTTACAATTTGTAAAAATCTTATCGTTTAGCTACAATATTCCGTGTCGTATGTAGTGAACAACCCTGTATATGTATGTCATGATATTACTCCACAAAATTTAAGTTGTATTTAGATTAGACCTTCGAAGAAATTTCTTAGAACTTACGACCGAGAAAAATCAAAGATTTTCATTGATTTAAGTAAGAACAATCACCGGATTGTCATGGGAATTTTAACAGGACACTATCTCCTCAAACCTAGTACTTAGTGGTGCTTCCAACTCCCAGTGGATGCCATACCAAGAATTTACAACTTTGAGAAACACCTCACTGTAGTATTGAGTAATAAAAAGGATTGGAAGAAAGAAACGCTTACTCAGCATATAAAAGACCATACCATCACGTGGTATACTGATGCTTCCAAAACCAAAGCAGGGACAGGGATAGGAGTATTTGGGCCGAAAACTGAATACTCCGAACCAATGGGCACCTACCCCAGTATCCTTCAGGCAGAAATTTGCGCTATCGAAAGATGCGTACATTTTATCTTAGATAGGAACTCTCGAAAACAGGAAATTGCCATCCTATCCGATAGTCAAGCAGCACTTAACTCGATCAACTCAGTAACCATCAATTCGAAGTTGGTCAAAGAATGCCTAGAGAAGCTCAACAAATTAGGCAAAGAAAATAAAGTCCTCCTACTCTGGGTGCCTGCTCACCAAGGGATGGAAGGCAATGAAAAATCAATTATCTAGCTAGAAAAGGAGCGAACACTCCACTAACTGGACCAGAACCGTTCTGTTTTCCAAACGGGAACCAACTGAAAGCGGAACTGAAGAATCTAGAAGACTCCATCCGTAACTTGGAATGGGTGTCCTCCAACGGTCTAAGAAACTCGAAAAAGTTCCTTAGAACTTATGACCGAGAAAAATCACAGGTTTTCCTTGATTTAAGTAAAACCAATTTTCGAATTGTCACGGGGTTTCTAACAGGACACTGTCTCCTCAACGAACACCTCAGTAGGCTGAAACTGAGAAACAACGGCGAATGCAGATTTTGTGGGGAAATGGGGAAACACCAGAACACCTTATCACTGAGTGCGCCGAGACGACTACCATTCGTGCCATGAACCTTGGTACGTCTGATGTCGAGGATGGAGAGCTGGCCTCTGTGGAGCCGTCTCAGATACTGGCTTTTCTTAAAGCCCTGAGACTGTATGATGAGTTATAACTCGTTATAACTCAAGAAAGGGGAACACACAATAGATCTATAAGGTGGCGGTGATTAACTCCCCTCCTAAACATTCTACATTCTAGTGGTGCTTTAAATATTTTTTTAAAGGAGTTAAATACTCTGAGAAAATATTTCTATCCTTAGTTATTTGTCTGTCATTCGGTTAGTAATGAATTAGAAATATTACAGATTTTTTATGGTCTTAAACCTGATCTGAAGTGGTCCCAACTAACGACATGGATGAGCCAGAGTCAGAGATTATTCAGAGAAATCAGTTTTTAGCAGGTTATTATTGTTCAAATACTGTTCTAGACAACAGATTCAGACAACGTTCATTCTCGGCGTTTCATTATACAACAAATCTACTAAAGTGAAAACGTTCATTGAGCTCATTGAATTGAATCTTAAAAGTTTATTTTTAAAAGGAGATAATTAAATAAGAGTTTGTTTACTAAACAAACAACCTCCCATTCGTGTGCTAACAATCTGTATTTTGATTCTATTTTATGTATAATAAGAAAAAATAAGTGTATAAAGGGATATAGATGAAGATCACCGACTGTCAGCTGTTCTAGCCCTTATCTAAATTCCATAAATGTTATATCAGCGTGTAAACAAAGCAAAGATAACGTTTATATAGTCGGATATAACCAAAATTCGCTGTAAACAATAAAACCAGTATTCATTCCACAATATTTTCACGTTTCAATGCACCCTTAAATGTCAAAAAGACACAATTGAAAGCCCTCTACCTCTGGGAAGGTTTGAATACCTTAAGATTTGTCTTGTCAAAGACCAATACAAAAAGGTTTTATAAGAAGAACGACTGTATATATCAGGTACCATGATAGTGCGAACATGAGCTTAAATTGGTAGAAGAAAAAATCTAGGAATTGGATTTAAAGAACATTTACCAAAACTATTGAAGAGATAGACTTTTAAATCAAGGATCGCATATCAATGTTTGGTCAAATTAAAACCAATTCAATGGGCAGTGGCCACAATGAGCCCACATTGGAAGGAACGAAGATTTGAAGAAGCTGATTTTTTTCAGAATCATGATAATATTTTCAATCAAGCAAGCATTTGATAATATTTTCAATCAAGCACGCCAAAATTAAGAGAATCTTAAATCCCAGTTAATCATAAAAGAGTTAAATACTCTGAAGCAATATTTCTATCCTTCGTTATTTGTCATTCGGTTAGTAATGAATTAGAAATACTACAGATTTTTTATGGTCTAAAACCTGATTTGAAGTGGACCCAACTAACGACATGGATGAGTCAGAGTCAGAGAGTATTCAGAGAAATCAGTTACGGCAGTTTTTAGCGGGTTATTATTGTTCAAATACTGTTCTAGACAACAGATCAACGTTCATTCTCGGTGTTTCATTATACAACAAATCTACTAAAGTGAAAATGTTCATTGAGCTCATTGAATTGAATATCCGAAGTTTATTTTTAAATGGAGAATAAATAAGAGTTTGTTTACTAAACAAACAACCTCCCATTCATGTGCTAACAATCTGTATTTTTGTTCTATTTTATGTGTAATAAGAAAAATTAACTGTATAAAGGGATATAGATGAAGATCATCGGCTGTCAGCTGTTCTAGCCCTTATCTAAATTCCATAAATGTTATATCAGCGTGTAAACAAAGCAAAGATAACGTTCATACAGTCGGATATAATCGAAATTCGCTATAAACAATAAAACCCGAATTCATCCCTAATATTTTCACGCATCGAGGCACCCTTAAATGTAAACAAGACACATTTGACAGCCCTGTCACTCTCTGGGAAGGTATTCTTTGTCGAAATAACTTAACTGGCATATAATAATCTGAATACCTTAAGATTTGTCTTGTCAAAGACCAATACAAAAAGGTTTTATAAGAAGAACGACTGTATATATCAGGTACCATGATAGTGCGAACATGAGCTTAAATTGGTAGAAGAAAAAATCTAGGAATTGGATTTAAAGAACATTTACCAAAACTATTGAAGAGATAGACTTTGAACCGATCAGGGTTGGGATCGTATTATCAATGTTTCAGTCAAATTAAAACCAATTGGTCAGGCAGTGGGCCACAATGAGCCCCACATTGGAAGGAAACGAAATTTGAAGTTAGTTGATTTTTTCAGAATCATGATAATATTTTCAATCAAGCAAGCATTTGAAGATTTTGATTTCTTAATTTAAGCATATGAGACTTGATTTCTTTTAAATTTTAAGAGAAGTCCAAAATTAAGAGAATCTTAAATCTCCAATTAATCATAAAAGAATTAAATACTCTGAAACAATATTTCTATCCTTCGTTATTTGTCATTCGGTTAGTAATGAATTAGAAATACTACAGATTTTTTATGGTCTAAAACCTGATCTGAAGTGGTCCCAACTAACGACATGGATGAGTCAGAGTCAGATATTATTCAGAGAAATGTTACCGCAGTTTTTAGCAGGTTATTATTGTTTAAATACCGTTCGAGACAACAGATCAACGTTCATTCTCACTGTTTCATTATACAACAAATCTACTAAAATGAAAATGTTCATTGAGCTCATTGAGTTGAATCTCAGAAGTTTATTTTAAAAGGAATGAGAATAAACAAGAGTTTGTTTACTAAACAAACAACCTCCCATTCATGTGCTAATAATCTGCATTTTTATTCTATTTTATGTATAATAAGAAAAAATAAGCGTATAAAGGGTTATAGATGAAGATCATCGACATGTCAGCTGTTGTAGCCCTTATCTAAATTCCATAAATGTTATATCAGCGTGTAAACAAAGCACAGATAACGTTCATACAGTCGGATATAATCGAAATTCGCTATAAACAATAAAACCCGAATTCATCCCTAATATTTTCACGCATCGAGGCACCCTTAAATGTAAACAAGACACATTTGACAGCCCTGTCACTCTCTGGGAAGGTATTCTTTGTCGAAATAACTTAACTGGCATATAATAATCGAGTCTCCTGAGTTAAAAATCACTGTTCTATCGATTTTAGGACGTTTCGATGGTTGAAACGAGACCCACCTTCAGATAATTCCAGATCCAATTCGGCCAGCTTATCCCGTATATCTTCCGGCAGCTTGGAGACGTCAATCCCTGCACTGTCACTCATTTTTTTGTGGAAAAAATCCCGTCGCACACCACAAAAATCCGTAGCACCACCCGAAACACTAGCACACCGCACTGGAGAGTACCATTATTAACATTGCGTTGGTTCTGTTTGTTTTTCCCTGTATACAGTGACCGTACGTTCGCGATATGGTGTATCTCGGACGAATGCGGACAGCTGTCCACAAATCAGAGGGCAATCTCCACGTTGCCGGGTGTACGAGAAAGTATTCGATTTTCTGCCGCTGCTGAGCTGTGTTTCTGTTAATTTGATCTTGCGTTGGTTGAAATACCTAAAGCATTAATTAAAATCTATTTTATTTAATGTTTATTCATGGAATTAGATGAATTTTTAATGATATTAGTAAGATTTTTAATAAAATTGGTGAAGGAAATAATTTCTTTGACAACGTGGCGAAGGGTTCGAGCGTGGGGGATAATTAATGATTTTCACGCGGTTGTTGTATACGCAACCAGATATAGTGCATGGTGTATGTCTGGTTGCATGTATATTATATTGTTTTCTGTTGTTTTCCTTGTTTGTACGAGGGATGTTCCAAAAATATTGTACAGGGTGCGGCAAGAGTGCGTCGGGCATCTGTAGCTCCTAGAATAAAAAACTTGAGAATTTTGTTTAAGTGTAAACCTAAAGTATGTACGAGGATGTATTTCAGGAAAATATTTTAACTTCTACAAGGTGGCTCAAAAAAGTTTGAGTGGATCGGGCTGAGTTTCCTTTCAAATCACTTCACCTAGTTCTAATATATGAGTAAATATGTTTCGAGAGTTTCAGAGCTTTTAATAAATAAATTAAAAAAATATATTTTTCGGCCTTTAGAAAAATATATTAAAAATACAAGAACAGTCCTGAAATCAAAACTATATTAGGTGTTTACTTTAAATAGTTTTGACTTAACTTTGCTATAAATATCGTAATCTTAAATCATACAGGATGTTAAAAATTCTACGCCAAAGTTTCTAAAATATAAAATAATATTTCTTCGTTTTCTTAAACGGGTAAAATCCTGTATATTATTTTTTTAATAGATGGAGAATTTCGAGTATTTCAAAAATTTTAACGGTTTTGCCGATATTCGCGGTTTTATATTTCATGTGGCATATTTTTCACAGTAAATTTTTATCAAAGCTACCCAATGATTTTTCTCTCGTATTTTACCATTGAAAGGGCCATATGAAATAATACTGCGAGTATCTCGAAACCGTTAAAAAATTTGGAATACTCTAAATACAAAAAGTGTTCAGTTTTTTAATTCTCCATCTAATAAAAAATATACAGGGTGTTCTATTTAAAAAAAAACAAAGAAAATATATTTTATATTTTAGAAAGTCTTGCGTAGAATTTCGAACACCCTGTTTGATTTAAGATTACGATATTTATAGCAAAGTAAGCATAGACCATCTAAAGTAAATACCTAGTATAGTTTTGATTTCAGGACAGTTCTTGTATTTGTAATAATTTTTTTAAGGAAGTTTGAAAAATATATATTTTTATTTATTAATATCTCCGAAATTATCGAAAAATATTTACTCATGTCTTAGAATTATGTAAAGTTATCAGAAAGGAAGCCAAAAATGCAATAATGCAATAAAAAATCATCCCGTTCCACTCACACTTTTTTGAGCCACCCTATAGAAGTTAAAATATTTTCCTGAAATATACCCAAGCAGCATTTGGACGTCGGGACAACGTTGTGTCACGCGACCAAACGTCGGGGCGCAACGTCGGCACAACCTCGTGCCAACCCTAGTCTGCACTAGTTTGGAGAATAATTTTTGGGTCGAAACGACGTTGGATACCGACGTTGGCTAGAAGCCTAATTTAGTACAAACTGCAACGTTGTTTAAAATCCTAATTCACAGAAATACAAAACTAATATGGCGTCTAAGTCGCGTTTTATCCTAAATTGGGATAATTATAGTAAAAAATATTATTTTATATGATTTAGGTAGAGACATATGTCAGATGGCAGTGAAGGAAGACAAAACAAAAGTATTTAAGTGTGGAGGATGTTTGAAGATCATAATTATTGAAACACTTTAACCGACTCTGTAACTCGTTACCCAAGGCAAAAAGTTAAACGCAAACAACTTTATTGATAAATGTATTGTTTCTACTTTGAAAAATACTAATGGGCCTTAAAATTAAAGAAGTTTTAAAAATTTTCTTGAATTTTTTTTTTTCGTAAAATGAGAATAATTTATTCGCAGTCGAAAAAATTATACCGTACGAGTTTTCGCGTAATATTTAGGGTCAAATATTTCAAGTTAATGTATTCAAAAAGCAGGAATTGCTATTTTAGGAACGAAACATTTTCTTATTTAACAACATGGCGGCTTTCACTTTGTTGTTTTGGGAGATTAAGATGGAGTAGTTCGAGTAGTCGCATACTGGACTAATAAAGTCGCAGTTCGGCCTTAACAGGTAGTATAGTAGTGGCAAGATTGCCTAATTTAGTCATCCTAGAATCTAGCTTGTGCCGCCTTCTATAATCTAAATAAACGAGGGAGTGGATAAACTATCGGTAATATATGTCGATGTATATTTAAATTTAGTTTTATATGTACCTTTCTTATGTCCCATTTTAATTAAGTTTTTTTTTAAAAACAAAAACAGCACTGAAACTGTCTGACTGAACAGAACAATGAAGTGAAAATTTAAGATTTAAGGTTATGGTTCAATACAGTTCAAAAAAGGTAGTGACTCGACGTCCTACCAACGTAAGAATAAGGAAATCTAAACAACGTTGGAATTAGTAAAACAGACGACGTTTGCATAACGTTGGAATAGGTTCTGAAACTGACGTCGGAAAACTCTATATTGTTCAACGCTGTAACTACGTTGTCCGAATCACCTAAAGATCAATTAAGCAAAAAAGGTTACAAGACAACGTTTATTCGACGTCGCAGAAGCTTCTACTTTGCTGTAGTACTAGTCCAACGTCGGCACAACGTTATAAAAACGTTTAAATTTATTTTAATACCCAAGGTAGGGAGCTAACTATTTTTTGTAACTAATCCAACGTTGTGTTTAGTAAATATGTGGTCGCAAGTCGTGAAAATGCTACTTGGGTATCCTCGTACATACTTTAAGTTTGCAACAAAATTGCCAAGTTTTTTATTCTAGGAGCTACAGATGTCCAACGCACTATTGCCGGACCCTGTATATTTACTTACCAGTGAAAAGTTATTCCCTTATTTCTTTTGATTTTTGATCGAGACTTACCGCACGCTAATTAAGTCCTGGCACAATGTCCTTCCAGATTTACTACCTCTAAACAAAACCAAAAAAATTGTAGAATAAATAATAATTACCATAAGGCTAAACGATGACCGATGGAAGAAGAAAATAATAGAATGGAGACCAAGACATGATGCATTCAGGAGCAAAGGCCATCCTCCAACCAGATGGCATGACGACTTAAGGCTGCAGTATCCACAGTAACTGGATGGCAAATAGCTCAAGATAGAAAGTTATGAAAGCAAACGAGGGAGGCCTACCTCCAGCAGTGGACTTTTTTTTCCACAATAAGGGTCCGTCCTCTGCCGGAAACACTGCGACCTATGAGGCCTATTGTGTTTGTCCCCTTTCTATATCTGCACCCGTTCTCCTATCCCTGTGCCCTGCACTAACTTATGCAGGTCCTTGATAGGATGGGAGCATAGTTCCTCCGGTTCTAGCCTAGCTTTCCCAAATAAAAAGTGTCGCTTGCGATCCAGAGCCTCGTACTGACATATTATGTGCTCTGCTCTTTCAGGATCTTTATCACAGAGTCTGCAGCAAAGACTTCCTTGATACAGGTTGGGCTTGTTCAGGTAACACTTGACAGCCATATGTCCTGTCAAGAGGCCTGTTGTAATCCGCAGTTTATTCCTGCTAGCAGTTCTTTTGCGGTTTTGGAGCTAAGTCCTTGGATAAAAGCCTTGCTGTGCCTGTGCCCCTGTCTGTTTCTCCAGTGGACATTCTGCTTTTCCCTGATCCATAGTTTTAGTGCACTACGGGCCATACATTTGGGTATTCCCAGTACTGGCTCTGGACCAAGATAAGATGCCGATGATCCTTGCCTAGCTAGCTCATCGGCTTTTTCGTTGCCTTGGATGCCGCTGTGGCCCGGCACCCAGAATAATTTAATTCTGTTCCGTCGAGCCAGAGCTTCTAGCAGTGGACTTTAGTGGCTGGTTGATGATGATGATGATGATGATGATGAACATAAGGTAAGCTCAGAAAACGAAACCTGCACACTTAAAATGAACATCATAAGGACACTGCAGGTCGCACAACGTTCAATGGAACGAAATATGCTGGGAATAACCAAAAGACCCAGGTAATAGGTATCATCCACAAAGTCAAATCCTTCAAATGGCAATGGAAAGGACACCTGGCAAGAAGAAGGAACAACAGATGGACCACAAAAATTACAGCTTGGTACCCACGAGGAATCAAGAGGTCTAGAGGAAGACCAAACTTGAGATGGGACCATGCTATTAGGAAATTAGCAGGGATAACTTGGGCCCGCATAAGCAACAATAGACAACAATGGGCCCAACTACAAAGAGAGTATGTGAGGGAGGCTACACCATAATAAGTATGGTTCCTCACATATTCTCTTATTTGTTGTTCCAATTATTGGAAATGGTTGAATAAGCTGAAAGAAAAACTCAATTTGAATTTATTTTGTCTCAGTACTTTTTGAAATTCTCTATCGTGATGATTTTCGATAATAATTTTCTTTTTTAAATTGTTATGTGTTTTTACTGCTACAAATTGTTGTTGGAAATTTATTTTTCAGTTGTATTTTACTATTTAGTTCATACATATGTTCATATTTCTAATTTTCTATATACAGTGTGACCCACTCAAGACCGGGCACCCTCCATAAAATCTGTGTTTATAGTCCGATTTTGATGATTTTTTTTTCAAATATAAAGTTTCAAAAAATGTACTTTAGGGCTCAATGTCATGTTATTTCACAAAAAACAAGGCCTACTTAATAAAGTTTTTGTAGTGAAAAATTTGCAAAATCATATTAGCGATTTTTTTTCAAAAATTTGAGTACACCTACATTCGGCATCCCCCAAAACAGTTCTGTACCAAATTTCGTTTAAAATATTAATTATTAATAATTCTGCAGTTAAATTAAATAATTCCTTATTTTTGCCAA